CTAAGTCTTCATTACGTAAACGCATTCCTCCTCGTAACAAATTAATTGACATTCTAATCAACGAGAGAAACTAGATGCAATTCATTATATATATATATTCATATATAACTAATATAAAAGACAATTTTGGAAGTATATAGAAAAGCAGTTCAATGGTGTGAATCCTTTGATAATGAAAGATCCTTTTTATTTAAACAATGTTTCTGTTTGGAGAGAACGTTTCGTAGTCACACACTTTTTTTAGATTTTGCATATAAACTTGCTGTGCTGGTGAGCCAAATCATCATCGTAAACTGTAATCTGATCATCATCGTAAACTGTAATCTGTTTTTTTATGTGCTCATTCCCATCGGGTTCTGAAGAGAATAACCCAATGTAGTCTCTTCATGTTCAGAATTGTGTTAGCATTATCAAAGCAATATAATGTAAATTGTTTAGCAGGAAGTGATAAAGCTTGTTAATTAATGAAATTATTATATTTATTCGTATTTGTTTTGATATCTGTTTGCGTTTCATGTGACGAAAATATTTTTAGTTATTGTTTCAGCATGATCATTTGCTTCATAAATGTCACTTGAAAGCTCAGTCATTATTACACGTATTAACATAGAAGTACGATTTGCCAGTTTAGTGTGCAATGCAGTACACATCTTTTCTTATTCCACTGCTTGAATTAAATCAAGATGAGCGTGCAACAGCATGAAAAGTTTGCAACATGACCTATTGAAACATATTGGTGGAAAACCGCTGCATAAAACAGGAAGAAGGCAATAATTGGCTGTAGTTTGATAGAAAAAAGCCCACTGTCAGCCTTCAATGCAATATCGACCATCCCGGGCTAATGATGATGTTAGACTTCTTGACTGTTTCCCGTAGAGATTTGTAGATTTGCTTGCATAGCAGTTAATATTAACAAATCTGAAAATTAAATAACATTCATCCATCAACTAAATGCTCTCTCTAACACAATAACATAAAGTACTCGAAATGCAATTAACATTAAAAAACGAACACACGTATCGAAAGACACAGGAATATAAAAAATGTTTCAAAATACGTAAAAATATTAAAAAAATACTAACATAAATTATACTTCGCTTTATTGTTTCAATGTAATTATGTTTGATTCTTGTGGTCTTCATTGCACTTCTCAACCAGTCACTTCCGTCGACGTTTCCGACGTGTTGTTTTGTTTCGGTTCGGATCATGCCCAATGATTTGTAGAACTTAGATGTCTACAGTAAATATACGTTCTACTCAGCTTAGTAGGATTTAAACAAACATTGCAAAGAGTATGACGTCAAAACTGGATTTGATATAATGCTACCTGCTGGAAAATATAGCTGTGATGTGTCTTTGCCCAGAGTTTTCAAGTATTCCTGCTGCTGAACAGGTGTTTCGATTAGAAGATTTTCAGCACTTGGGCAGCGCTCATCGTGATGGTCTTCCATGAACGCCTGAAATCATGGTTCAGATTCCCAATATCATTTATATTTCTCAATACATTTCAACTATTTGAGTTTTATGCAATTTTCAACCAACAAAGATACCAGCGTTTGCTTCATAAATCGAACAATATCCCGGTAACGCGGTGTGCAGCGACACTGATGGCAATATCCTGATAAATAATCGTGAGGTGAGATTAAACATATTACTGTACGTAAGTGATTTATGATGCTTTCTTGATAAAGCACTTTTTCTCAGTAACAGGAACATAATTTAATCATTGTGAAGATTTACTATCAAGAGCGTGTGCTGCTGTCTTCGCCACATGTATTTTCCTGCGGTAACTCTTGGGAAAGGCTTTTTGTAGGACACCAAAGGACACCGTATAAGGTTTCAATCTGAAAACGTGATAAGATTGATTTGAGAAAATTTTTTCTGCGAATTCATTTCAAATAACGTAGTCGTGAAATGCAATGTACAGGCAAAATAACATGCAATCTCTTTCACTGTGAACAATATACGGGTGAACCGTGGGCATCCGCAACTAATTTCTAATCCAGGATAATCTCTCATTCTTGGTGATTCGTGATCTTTTCGTTAGACTCTAGGATGGCTTTGGGTCCATGTTTGACCCATAACTCCTTCTGAAAGCATAAATGATTATATAAATCAAAAAAGCTTGATATTGCATGCAGTCAACAAAAATCATTAAAAAGAACTTACAATTTGGCGCAGGAGTCCGGAATCAGTTCGTACTTTGACGAGTGCTTCCGTCCACGTCACTGTGAGTGCTGATTGTTCCGTTTTTTCGACGATGTATTTTCCAAAACCGCACACAACCACTGTTACTTGCAACATTATATGACTGCATATGCATATTCATATGTCAACTGTACATAATGTGAGATTCAATTTATTTATGGATCATGCAGTAGGAAATACGGCCGCTGTAATCTAGCTAGTACACATAGCTTCCAAAGTAATCAAACAAGCTCTAATATGCGAATCTGGCTACACATTAACTATGTAAAATGTTTAAATGCTATGAATATACGCAATTTTAATAAAAACAGATACAAAACTCAGAATTTGGCCATCAATTTTGTCAAGTATTTTTGCGAAAAACTGCTCGAAGTCTTCTGACGCTCTATTCCCGCAAGAATTTGATGATGGACATACTTCATCTTCCGCACAGATCTAATGGATAATTGGTTGCATTTCACCGCCAGAAAAGAAACTATTAATATTTGTAGTAACATCATCAGAAAGGAAACTATTAATATTTGTAGTAAAATCATCAAAAACATCAGATGTTACAAACATTTTCTGTCAATATGTTTCACTTTTGTCAATGAATTTTTACAACCTACTTTAATTTAGTCTACATCATGCAAAAATCATAATAAGCTTGTCAGTCCAGGAACAACATATAAATTCAGAGTTTGTGATTGTCTATGCATCGAAAAACTCGTAATATTTCACCATCTCTTTATTCTACTCCTCCAGAAATTTCCTAGGAGTTCGATTTCTTCTACTTTCATAGTATGGATTATATCTTTATAATATTAAAAACAGTAGTTGCATCTGCAGTTCACTTTGGACAATTCTGGAGTAATATAATAGTGCAAAAACTGATGTCAAATACTTTTGACTGTCCCTATGTAATAACTGACTGATTATTATCGTCTTCGTACTGACTCCAAATTTCTTTCATTCTCACATTTCATCCAGCAGCTGAAGTGTATGAAGCTGCGATTACTTTGAGTATGGCAACAAGTCTCACAATCTGGAACGATCGACTGAATAATCAAAATCTCTAATTAGAATGTTAGTATGAATGCGATTTTTTTCCCGCACTCAACTATACTGTAGTTTTCACAGAATAAGAACGTTTCTTTTCCAGAGAAGAAGTTTTTTTAAATAAAAAATTTTTTAAACAAAAAATTTCCTTCAATTTTCCAATGTCTGTATCAGAGAAACAGTCTATAAATGTTCAAAATTCATACTTGCATACAGTTCAAAGTTCATACTTGCATACAGTGTCATTCATTGAACCGAATTGTTTTAATGGTTGAAATGTTCCACACTGAATGAATCTCTATCTAATATCTTGGACTCAAATTTTTTAAATTTTCTCAAAATGTCTGGAGAAACATTGTATGTGCCTTTAAAGAATAAATTATAAGCCGATACATCAAATATATCGATATCATAAACCACGAAGATAAGCGACTTGCAACTGCTTTGCATGACTGACGTATTTTTTAATAAATTCAAAGATTAGCAATATTTGAAGCTTTACTGTAGCATGGAAATTAAGTAATATGTTCAAGTAATTAAAAGAAAAATATGATGGAAATTGTAATATTATGAAGATCACATAGTTTTGCAGTAAGTACATTATGTGAGTTCTGTTTTTAAAAGCAACTTTCAGTTCTCACCTAATCCAGAGTGCTTATTGTTCATGCTTTGGGTGCTTGTTTTGAATGGTTGGTTTGAGCAAAAAAGATTATAGATTCGGCTTCACCATGTTATTTTTTGGAATGGAAAGTTTGCTCAGTTAGACAAAATACTTATTAACAACCAAAGAATAGTAAAAGCTTTAACTACTGCAAACAGGATTCTTTGTACGAGACAATCAAATGTGCAAAAATTGAATACTACTGTGTTTTAATGTAGTGAAATTAATTTGTGCTATTTCCAGATTTTACATGAAGATAGATTATTAACGGAATACTTGATTATGTCTATATCTTCTTGGCTATTTAGAAACTGATTCACGATACAAAATTTGTGCTTGTAACATTAGTGAGAAATTAATAATTAGATCATCTTAGTTATCTAAAATTTTTATTCTTCTAATAACAAATAACTTGAATGTTTTTGTGTGCTCAAGCTTAATTTGCATATTCTGAGTTCGAAGGTTACTGGCCACCTGCATCCCGTAATCCATGTCGGATACAAACGTATGTGCTACCTTCTTTCACAAATCCATGACATCACTGCTCTATCTGCATCAGTCTTAAGCAATCACGTCATTTGCAGGCAATCGCATACCTTTAAATTACTTTATATTATCTTTTACTTTATTTTATTTGGTGCGAATATTTCATATGTTTAATTAATTATTCAGGTGTTATGATATTTAATTATATTTTTATTATGATAATTATAGTAAAATAATGTTTTACAGGATTTAGAATATAGTGCTTTTAAAATTTCGAAAATGACTTAATCTTAGCTCATGATTATTTATCAGGATATTGCCTTCAGTGTCACTGCCACTCCGTATTAACGAGAAATTGTTCGATATATGAACAAATTCTTTGCGTGTTTCTTACATTCAGAAGACGATATGCTTGTTAAACGGAAACGATATGCTTGTTATATCAAAGATCATTCCCCCAATGGTACTTTTGTTAACGACTTTAGGGTTGGTATATATTCATTTTTTAGATTTTTAACTTTTTTGCTATGAAAGTGATGCGTTGATCTACATATAATATGTATTTCAGGTGACTGGTGAAGCTGAATTGAAATTTGGAGATGCGATCAAATTTGCATATGTCAGTGGTGCAGCTACCAAACCACGTTGTTATGGGCCTCAAACTGTCGCTGAATTTACATTTATTGTACGTTCAAGGACATCGTTTTTACTTTCATCAGTTTCGAAAATTTCAAAATAATGTGTTTGATAAAATGTTCAATCACTTTATGAAATAATTTAAATTTCATTTACTTTTCAATCATTCAATTGAAGTTCTAGTTCATGAAAAATTATAGAACTAGAAAATTGGATTTTTTCAAAGTAGACTCGTTGTCATTCGTTCAACAAGACTCATCATTTCAAGTTTAATTTGAGGCGGCGTCAGCACATCGTATTATTGATTGTAGGCGTCCAATTACAATTAAGGCAAGATACGGCAAGACTCATCGTTTACATCACAGGTAAGATTTCCATGGATTTTTTTTTATGATGATGAATGAATAAATTTGTATATTATTGTATTGTTGCATGCATACTGTCCACAAGTTACCGTCACCAAGATATTTCACATTGTATACTTTCCTAACGTAACAAATTAATGTGGTCTACTCATGTGCAATTCAATAACCACGAAAAATGTTTCCAATTCGAGAACGAGTCACATTTAAGCCTATGAAGAGTTCGATAATTGCAGCACATTCAGGGTAAATCATTTAAACTGACTGAAATTTATTAACACTAACCATTTGTTAGGAAGTCATGAACAATCGTAACAAGTTAGCACATAAGTAGTATTCATAAATTTTTATGCACTAAATGTACATTGCGAAGTATTAGTACAATGAAGTATACAATTTATTCACTTATGCTTATGATGCAAAATTATTATTACTACTTATTGTTATACTTTCATGTTTTGCATTGGAAGTATATTAGCAAAGATAAACAGTAAATTTGAAGAAGCAGGATAAGCAGTAAATTTGAATTATCAAATATATATTTGCAAATTTATTAAATAGAACTCAAATAAAAATAAAACTGAAAAGCATGAAAAGTTGAAGAGAGCATTTTTGATGGTCTTTTATGTGAGCAATTAATTCGATTATGATGGAGTGTGAGCAGATGTGTCTCCTCTTCACTAAACAATTCTAACTTTAGAAGATGCTGCTTTCTCGCATGTCCAACCAGTTTTCTTGGGTAGCAACATTGCCTGAATATTCGGTAATACACCACCTTGTGCAATCGTAACATCTGCAAGCAACTTATTCAATTCATCGTCATAGCGAATGGCCAACTGTAAATGTCTTGGATTTATGCGAGATTTATTATTGTCACGTGCAGCATTTCCTGCCAATTCCAACACTTCTGCAGCCAAATATTGCAAAGCAGCTGCAAGATAGACAGGGGCATCTGCACTAACACGTTCTGCGTAGTTGCCTTTTCGAAGCAAACGATGAATTCTTCCAACTGGAAACTGCAGACCTGCACGTGAAGATCGACTTTTTGCTTTACCAGCAGACTTCGCTTTATGACTTTTACCAAGTCCTGACATTTAAATATCTAAAACAACGTCACATTTAGTAAGCAATAGCGAGTGTTACGCACGTTGATACATTCCACACTCGAATAAGTATTACTGATACAGCACGGAGAACCTCACACAGTAAAATCGCTTAAAATTTAGATCTACATATCACGTCTCACATAATATATTGCAGACATAAGTTTGCAAGCAGTTTGCAAGAGAGAGCTGCTACTCGCTCGACACAATAACAAAGTTTATGTTGTTTGCAAAATGTCCAACCATCGTGAACACCCATCATCAGCAAACTGCAAAGACGATCAATACCAACCACTGCAAGGACAAACAACGAGAACAACATACCTGTACTCCTATCCTTTTTTTTCATTTATATACTCATGTGCGAGCGCTCGAGCGCTCTTCATTCTTAAACTTCGCCTATTCGTCTTCACAATAAGGGGCGTGTTTTCAGTGTATATGAAGCTCATAGAGCGCTATATAAATAGATGTCGCAATCTAATCCCAGTCGTTGGGTTGATGTTATATGGTGTCTTCTGTGCGTTCATTCATTCATTCACTGGCTATAGAGGTGTTCGTGAGAGAGAGCATTGGGTAGAGAGGATATGGTTTATGTAGCGGAATATGAGGATGCATGCGTGGGAAGATGAGTAGGTTAATCGTGATTTCTTTGCAGTGTTTAACATATTTTTGACGTTACAAACATGCCACCTAAACCATCTGCTAAAGAAGCTAAAAAAGCCGCAAAATCTTCCAAAGTTTGTGGAGAAATAAAAAAGCGGAAGTCACGTCGGAAAGAGTTTTATTCCGTAAACATTTGTCGTGTGCTCAAATAGGTTCACTCAGACACAAGTAAGATTGATAATTCGATAAAAATGAATGTAATGATTGCTAGCTTATTTGATTGCTGGCGTGAACATAATTACTTAAAGGTATTTCTTCGAAGGCAATGTCAATCATGAATTCGTTTGCGAACGATTTGTTCGAACGTATTGCTACTGATGCAAGTCGTCTGGCACAATACAGTAAACGATCAAACATTTCATCACGTGAAATACAGACTGCAGTGGGCCTGATTCTTCCAGATGGATAGGCACAGCAGGCTGTTTCTGATAAGAAGAAGGTTGTTACGAAGTATACAAATTCCAATTAAATTGTATATAGTGAGAGATGAATATCTCTTGCGGTTATTAGTATCTCTGAGTTGATCTCAACACGTATTGCTGCATATCGTAGTGTAGGACATGTTGCAACATAGTGTTTTTTACTGTGCATAATGCTAAGACTACATGCAAAACTTAGAATAACACCACCACAGTTATCAGTTTGTTATCATGGATTGCTTATGATTTCCTATATTTTCAAGAAGAGCCAAACTTGTATACAAATTTGAAGTCCTTAGAAAGCCTGCTCACTGTATTGAACTAAAACTGATTTCTGTGTTATCGTGAAGTCTTTGGGGAAATTTAGGTTATTCGGGTTTGAATACTTTGAATTTATTACTTCATGATACGTATAAAAGTCTCATTTTTTGAAAACACTTTTTTTTTCTAGTTTTAAGTGATAGTAGATAGAGTCCATGATAATTTACCTTATATTTTTTGATTTATACAATCATTGATACTTTCAGAAGGAGTTACGGGTCAAACATGGACCCAGAGCCATCCTGGAGTCTAAAGAAAAGACTGTGCCTTATAGATTACGAATCACAAGAACGACAGATTATCCTGGATTAGAAATTAGTTGCGGATGCCCACGGTTCACCCGTATATTGTTCACAGTGAAAGAGATTGCATGTTATTTTGCCTGTACATTGCATTTCACGACTACGTTATTTGAAATGAATTCGCAGAAAAAATTTTCTCAAATCAATCTTATCACGTTTTCAGATTGAAACCTTATACGGTGTCCTTTGGTGTCCTACAAAAAGAACTTTTCAAGCTGTTGTACGCTCATCTTGATTAAATTCAAGCAGTGGAATAAGAAAAGATGTGTACTGCATTGCACACTAAACTGGCAAATCGTACTTCTATGTTAATACGTGTAATAATGACTGAGCTTTCAAGTGACATTTATGAAGCAAATGATCATGCTGAAA